AAATAAAATTAACTCTTGAGTTACATATAATGAAGTTGAAGTTTCCCTTACAAAGAAATGACACTTCCCATGGACTGGAATCTTTTTTAGTGTTTTTGTTTGTTTGTTTGTTTTTAGAAAATGTTATGGTTCAAACTTTAATCCTTCATTGACGAGATGAGATCTGAAGTGGCAGGCTTGAAACCAACCTGGGCAAGGAAACCCAGAATATACCCCAAAACAAAAGCCAAAATGGAGTTGTGGTTCATGCAGTAGTGCAAAGGCAAACAACACCAAGCTCCCAGACCTCAATTTGGCTGGCTTTTATACTAGCAGTTTTTAGCTGGGAATGGACTGGAATCTTATACCTAGATAACATAAACAGTCAAATGTCTACTAAAATAAAAGCACTTGATCTTCCAAGAAAAAGTGACCTTTGCTCACCCAAGGACATTAGGTTGCTATAGGTCTCCAGCATTACATCTCTGTGAAGGGTCCGCTGACCAGGATCCAGATCCTGCCACTCCTTCCATGTGAAGTACACAGCCACATCATCAAATGACATCAGCTTCTGTAATGGCACATTTCCATCAAGAAATTAGACCTGGGTCATGAGAATTCCAATCAGGAATTTCATTATGCTGCAGGTATGCTTTTGTCTTACATTAAATGTTTGCAGCTTGCTGTGCTATCTATTCACTGGGAAAATTAAATAGCAAATTAGAAATATTCGACAATATATAAACCTGGTCATTAAAACACACAGATTGGCAGGGCACTGGTGGCTTATCCTCCTAGCTATTGAGGAGGCTGAGGTCTGAGGATCTAGGTTCAAGGCCAGCCCAGGCAGGAAAGTCCATGAGACACTTATCTCCAATAAACCACCAGAAAACTGAAAGTAGCACTGTCACTCAAGTGGTAGAGCACTCACTTTGACCTGAAGAGCTGAGGGACAAGAACCAGGCCCAGAATTCAAGCCCCAAGACCAATAAAAAATTACAGTTTCCCTATTGCATGCAAACACATTTCTGCTGCTAGCAATAGAGACATGATAAAAACTCTAAGGATACCCTGATATTTCCATCCTATGTAAAAAAGAACTGCTACCATGAAGTTTTGTAAACTTTGCCTACATTCTACAATACAAAATATATGTGGAAGGGGAATAAAATATTCTTTACAATATTTTCATTTTAATAGACTTCATGGAAGGTGGAGGAAAATATATAGAAGCTCAAGGAATACTAAATATGACAAAAATGATGAATATGAACAAATGCTCCAATGTGTTACACATTTCTGAGTCATTTCTCCAGTAGATCCCTAAGGATATATTTCCACTTGTGTTAGTTAATCGCAAAATTTCTCAGAGATCCAAATCAATTCCTGAGAAATCATCCGTGAGATTTTGCAACAAGTGATATTTCTAATAAAGAACACCTTGTCACTGTATTTTTTTTTTATCAAAACCAGTTCCTATCATATACTGGCAGTGAATTAAAATATTCAAAAGTAGTGGGAAGGAAAGACAAAACAAATACCACATCAAATGAAGTTAGACTAAAGATAACCGAATCAGGAGAAAACTGATTTTCTTGTAGTTTATAAGTTGGGCGAAGGAAATACTTTTCTGTGGGGAACTCTGAAGTTGAGCTGAAGGGGGAAAAGGTTTGAGAGGTTGGAATTCCAGCCTGACCGCAATGAGAACACTGAGAGCTGGCCACAGAAGGGTTAAAAGAGAATTCTGGAGAGGGTTAAGAGACTGGAGGGCAGGCCTTTTCCTTACTGTTGGAAAGATAGAAACATAGCATCTGAAACTGAGCTGCTGTTCACCTTCAAGGCTAGGTAAGGTGAACTTCATGTCTGCATTATATCTGGGAGCCAGTCTTCTGTCTCAGGAGATTAGGAAACATGTTTTACTCACAACCTGTTGTGGCTCTGATTGTACTACTAATATAGATACTTCATTTTTGCATGTTATCAATGGTAATCTTCCCTGTGTGCACTCAAGGAACTATGCTTGCTTGCTGGCACCAAGGGACCAAGTGCCAGAGAGCCTTCTGAACCCCGGTTTTTCCCTAAGTCTATCTGTTTATGTTTTTGTGATTTTCTAATTTTGTTTCTGGAATCCTGTAGAACTCTCTAGGGAACAATTTTCCTATACAATGGGTAAGAAAAATGTCAAACCTAAGAGCCATGTCAGCAAAGTAAAACTGATCACTAAGAAAAAATAGTTCCCAGATAGATCATTTGATGAAAAGAAACAACTGAGACACATATGGAGGAAAGAGGGAATGAGAAAAGTAAGAAAAAATTGATAGAAAGATAGATACAAAGAGAGAGAAAGAGAAAAATAACCAACACTAGTGAGTAGAAAATCAAAAATAGAGAGAGAAAATAGAGGAAAGAAATTTTGTGAGGATACTTTAGAAAACAAACAGGAATTTGTAGAAAGACCATAAAGTTTAGCAACAAATATATCCTAAGTTTCAAGTAAGACGAAGACCATGAAGTCGACCAAGTACTATATATGGAGAGTAATTTAAGTACATATAGGCTAATCACTCCATAACAACACATGAATGTGTGTCTGTCCATAACACTATTTCAGCAATTCCAAGAAAATTTCATTGAAATAGTTTAACGATGCTCATGAGGATGTGATCTGTTTGCAAGCTATCCTTCACCTTCCATGAGAAGAAACCTGCTCAGTGTCATTACATCAAATAACAGATTTGATTACGTTTTATGAGAACATGAAACCTAGACATTCTGAAGCCAATCTGCATTCAACTTAGAAAGAATATAACCATTTAATCTGCTAAACCTACAAGCAATCTTAATCTGATAATCTATAAGCCATATGAATATGTTCCTGAGGCTGAATCTGTGTGGTTGGAATTGTTTTAAATTCTTGAACATCTTTAGGTTCATATAATGGAATAAAACCAAATGAGAAATAAAAAAAAACAACTCACCAGAGATCCATTCATTTCGTCTTGCTGCTGACAATGAGCAGAAGATTCTGGAAGCATGGCTGGGATACAAGACAAATGACGTATTCAGAAATGAATCTGTGAGACTTTCGGCCCAGAATTTCCTCTTGCAACATAATACATGGGCTGGAAAACGGCAAAGATTTCTCATAAGAGAAGAATCTTTAATGTCTCAGGCAGAGGATTAAAGTCTACAATAAATACAAATCCAGTCCATTTCCTGGTAGATAGATATTATTAAACCAACTAATTTCTATGTTTATGTACATACTACATTTATAAGAGTGAATGTTCCTACAAAAAATATTGAATAACTGAAAGCAAAAACATATCACATTTCCACTGAAACTATTTATTACTGAATATACTTCGGGATGTAGGAACTGCTTTTTTTAATGCAAAGGTATCCTAGGAATCCATTGGAATTTGTTTTCTACCTCATTCATTTACATATTTAAACATCATGGAAAGCATATATGATGTAACTCAGTAGTTTTCACCCAAAGTTACAGAGGAAACTATGTACAGAATATATTTCTTGTGTTATACTATTTCAATAATGGTTGTCCAATGGTACATTTCACTGTATCCATTGCAAACATATGCAATGATTTGCAATTTGCCATTTAACATGCTTTGGCCAAAGGAACATGAGTAAAGATGAGGTAAACCCAGGTTTGAGAAGTCCCTAATGTTCATTTTCCTAAACAGTCATGGGAAGATCCTTGGTCATCCTAAAGATACCACATAAAATACTCCATATAGGAGTGACACACCTGAAGATAACCATCACCTACAAAGCATAGAACCTTGAGTAAGACATATTACCTCAAGTTTTCTTCTGTGATTTTTCATTTAAGGCCAAATGTCCCCGACCAACACTTTCTGAACTACGAGGCACAGCCAACACATTAGAGCTAGCATTAACAAATCCATAGATGGGACATTTAAGATAAGTTTCAATGAATACATACTAAAAATTATAGTGGTAACCCAGGCTGAATAAATTAGCAAGAAGAGGATTAGGGATTACTACATGAATAGATATTTTCAGTCATAACAATTACCCCACCTTCCCAAACCACAGCCTCAGGTACCCTCTGATAACTAGCCTCTGGGTTATTCCTCAAGCCAGCTCATCACGACTCCTAGAAATTAGCTTAAATCTTGCAACAACACAAAGTGAGAGTGGTGTAGGAAAGAGTACCACGTGAATCTGGTGCTTAGGGAAGTAGCAACAATTTTTGCATAAGGCAAGGGAAGCTAGCAGCATCTTCCCCTGCCTGTGCTTTTCTGCTTCTTCCCTTTTGGGCTTCTCAGAAAAGGTCTGTCCATTTAGGATGGAGATTCTTATTCACAGGGTGCTCTGCTTCAAACATTGCTAGGCTTCATTCCTAAAAATACAGGACCAGCACTCACTACTCCAATATCCCATATACAACTGTCTCTAGAAACAGGATGGTGAACAAACATCTGTGAACTCAAGCCAGGAGATTAAAACCTCAAGCCAAAAAGATTAAAATATCTCTAGGAGAAACAACACAGAAGCCCTAAATACAACTTCCATGTAAGAGGACTCAAGGCAGGCACACACCTCACAATTTCACTGGAATTCTTCCTGTACTCCTCTTCCACCTGGGCAAAGCAAATAAAGTCACATGCATTAATAGAAGAATCCCTTGGTCTTGGAGTACAAATGCACAGCTCTTGGGCTCTCCTTGTCTGCAGAATCACCCAGCTTGCTCTCAGACATTTGGGAACCAGGTTCTTGCAGCTCAGGGCCCAGAAGCTAATGGCAGCACAAACTCCTGAACCTCAAGCAAATTATCAATCCCAGACTGGAGAAAAGCGTGGAGGGGAAAACGGGTGGTTTGGCTCAAGTATAAAGCTCTCCTCTTGAGCTGACGAGCTCAGGAACATTGCTTGCAGGCCCAGAGTTCAAGCCCCACCAATGACCAAAAAAAACAGAACCAGAAAAAGAAACCCGTGGAGGATAGACTCCAGCAGCAATCCCACAGTTCCTACCTAACATCAGTTCCAAAGCTTGAGATTCCTTCAAGTTACAGCTCCCAAGCTCCACTGCGCAGAGCTGGGCGCCTGCCTCCTGGCTCCCACCTATGGAAGGCCAAACTTTACTTCAGGGCACTTCCAGCAGCAAGCAAAGGGAAAGAATGCAGAAGGGTCCGACTTAATATGCCCAAGGGGGGCGGGGAGACGCATGCCCAAAAAGATCTCTGTGCCACTTCCGCCCTCCAAAAACAAAAACAACTCAGGACTTTCAAACCAAAAGCCCTCCAAGGAGACTACAATTCCCATGATGCTCGGCGCCACCTTGCTTCACCTCTGGTCAGAAGAGTGCTTGGATGCATTGGGACTTTTCTCTCCCTGCTGTGGGAGCTAAGCTGAGTTTCTTCTTCAAAACCACTGTTTCCTTTGTAAAATATTGTAAGACCAACCAGAAAATGGATATATATGGGGAGAATTGGATGCATTGACTTTTTGGTACTTAGTTCTAATAATGAAATTGAGGTTATGAGACTGTTTCTCATACCTTTCTTTTTGTTCTATGCCTGTGTTCTGCTGAGTGTAAATTACATCTCTGTTTTGCTTTACATTGTTTAATACCTCCCCTCTCATCTTACAAACATACTCATAGACACTGAACTTATAACGGGTCATTTTCCATTAGTGTAATTTTACACACTGGCATAGAATAAGAAGATGGTTATGTGGATATGCATCATAATCCTTGTGTTGATTTAAATTTTGCAAAATCAAACAATTACTTTTTCCAGAAAATCCCCAATCTATCTATTAAATGAAAATGAGTTTTTGGCCGTTTCTGAATTTTGCTTTTCATTTAAGGGTTTTATGTTTTTTTGTCTTTTTGCTGTTGGTCCTGAGGCTTCAACTCAGAGCTTGGTCACTGTCTGTGAGCATTTGTTGTGCTCTACTTGGATTTCCTTTAATAATTTCTTCAGGTAACTAGTGAAAAGTTTCCTCACAGGGATTCTTAAGAGCATGGCACATTTCCCTGATTTTCCTACAAAGAGAGTGGTTTGGGGGTCAGAATGAATGCAGGTGAGTAGAAGAGTGAAGTTTAGGCTAGGCTATGTTGATGTGAATCTTAATCATTTACAAACCAGTCTGCTTCTGTCTTCTCATTTTGCATGTGAAAATCTCTTTAGAATTCTTACCTCTTCTCTGATCCTAAAACTTCCTCTCAGTAGCTTTAGGCTACATATCTAGGGGACCTCTGACTTGTCTCCTCAGACCTTATCCATTAAGCTGTGGAATAAATCTTTGCCTTCTGCCACAGTCGTACAGAGCACAAGTAAGACTTCTGTGGGCCAACGGGATAATAATTAAGGAGACAGAGAGATGGCTGATGGCACAATTCTGCTATATTTCTCAAATGCTTGTGTAATATTGGTCTACGCCCACTGTGCCAAAAAGTGCAAACAGCACACACCTTTCCTCATTCTACTTCAATCTATCTTTTCCACCAAAGCCTCCCTTCACTTAAAGCCCCAAGCCAAACAGCTAGAACACACACTTCCTCAAACCAAGAAAGGGCAAGGACTTGCAACCCTGAGGGTGGGAGTCAAAGGCCCTGAAGCCTTTGTTCACAGTTTGCCTGCTCCTGGCAGGCACCCCAGGGTCTGCAACAGTCTCCCTCTCTCATATTCAGAGATCCTATACTTGTCTCTTAAATATTTATTGTGATTTTTGGTGATCCTTTACATACAATATAATTGAGATGGTTTGGATTGGAAAGTTTCATGCCTGGTTTTAGGTCTCCAGTGTATAGGTTTTCTATATCTCCTTTTTGGACCTGAATTATTCCTCATGAAAATGGAAATCAAAGGGCATATTTGGATTTATAGACTTCAACTTAAAAGCACCTCTAATAATATAAAGAAAAATTAATTTCATTCAAAAAAAGTAAATTCCTGAGAGGCAAGGAGAAAAGGATCAGAAAGAATTGGAGTACTTCCAAGACTACATGTGAAGTGTAGTTTTCATTGTTCAAGCCTGTATTTCTGATGCATTTACTTATATTTTTATCCTTTTTTTTTTTTTGGTCGTTCATGGCACTTGTACTCTGAACCTGGGAACCATCTCTGAGCTCAAGTACTCTACCATGTGAGCCACAACACACTTCTGGATTTCTAGTGGTCACTGGAGATAAGTGTCTCACACATGTTGGTGGCCAGGCTGACTTTGAACTGGGATCCTCAGGTTTCAGCCTATTGAACAGCAAGGATTACAGACATGAGGAACCAGCACCCAACTTGCATTTCTTGTGTTTTATGTCCCAACTCTGGGGCTTGAACTCAGTGCATGGACACTGTCACTGAACTTCTTTTGCTCAAGACTAGCATCCTACTACTTGAGCCACAATTCCACATTTTGCATTCCTGTGTATGAGGTAGTGAGGACTTGAACCAGGGCTTCATGCATGCTAGGTAAGCATACTACCACTGCTTGGGCCAGCCACAACACCAGCAGTGCTCCAGAAAAACAAGGGGATGATAATGGAAGAGACAGAGACCAGGCCAGTGATGAATCTCTCTTTATTTCTGCAATATCCTTAGCTATAGACACTTTCTATATCTGTCCAGTTCTTGCATCACATTGTTCTAGGACTCAATGTGGCAACAACTGCAGATCATATGCATCCTTTCTCATTCTAGTTCAACCTTTGTCCACCAAACTCCTACAGGTAAGGCCCCAGGCCCAGAAGCTAAAAGGAACACTCCCTCCTATGAAAATGGCAAGTACTTACAGCCCTGAAGTTTGCAGTCCATGGTTGTGGAGCTTTTGCTCACACCTTGACAGTCCTTGCACCTCTGAGTCTGCAACAAATCCTCCTTTTTATTTTGTAAATTGAGCAAGTGTCTGTCAGCTTGAGCCTAGAAAATGCAGCAGATCATACATCTCAATAAGAATGGAAGAAAAAGGAATACGAAAACAAGAAACAGGAAAATGCCTAAGAAATGGAAAAAGGAGTGCTATTTCCCAGGTTGAATCCCTGCAGATAATGGAGAACTGATGCAGCTAAGTCTGCAGGGTGTGCTACCTATAGGGTGGAGTGACCAATATCAGATTTCTGACCCTGTAGCTGCCTAATGTCTAACCTTAATTTATCAAAGGAGGGCTGGAAAGGTGGCTTAGTGTGGCTCAGTGGTAGAACCCTTGCCTTGCATGCATGAGGTCCTGAGTTCGATTCCTCAGCACCACATAAGCAAAAAGAAAAAAGCAAGAATGGCACTGTCGCTCAAGTGGTAGCCCGCTAGCCTTGCAGCACCCAGGCCCAGAGTTCAGACCCTATGACCAGATCCTCCCCCGAAAACATTATCAAAGGTCCAGATTCCTCAAATATGTCACTGGATATTGGCCCATATCATATTGAGGGATAACACAGGCGTACTAACCATTAGCATGTCACATCATTTTTAACCGGGTCTTTAGCACATCTACTTGATTATCAATATAAATCATTGTTGTTTCCAAATCATAAAACATATCACAATCTGATCCAAGCCCACCTGCATCCCAGGGCACCAGAAACATACCAAGCCAAACTATTAACATATTGTGCTGTATATATGGTTTGGATAAGGTTCACAGCAGAAGCAGTAGCACTAGCAAGAACATTTAGGGTAGCAAAAATGCTGGCAACCAATATTCCAAAAAATCTGCATCAATGGCTAAGAGCCTATAAACCTCAATAGCAAACAGAGACCCAAACCTATTATACCATAATGTTTATATCAACTGAACAGGCAACATAAGTTAAGGTGATTGCATAGTAATCTCAGAGTATTTATGCAGTTAGTGAGAACACAATTGTTCCTGCTAGAGGCATCAAAAACTACCCCACCCTTGAAAACCATACCTAGCTCTACTAACAGCATGTATGGATACATAACACAACCTTGCACAGTAAATGATACAAAGCCATGAAACAGGACACGTCTCTGATACAGAGGTATGGGATGGAGAGAGGCATTAGTCCAAAGGCCTCAGCAGCAGCCAGTTGCAGATGTTAGGGTGAGCCTTACGAAACAGGCTGACAAACATGGGGGCCAACAAGGTACCACTGATCACGTCACTCCTTGAGCCCAGTTATGGAGTGCATACTGGGAGACTTCTACCAGTACAACAGTAGACAAGATGTGAAATCCACAGGCTCTCCATAATCCACATGCCCTACATGGGGGTGGATCATCAAAACCACAGGAATCTCCGGGCATAGTGTAACCCATGAGGGGTGCACCACATCTCCTGCCAAAGGAATTCTAGAAGTGTTATGCATGAGCTCCATGTTTTCCATTCGTTCACCTTTTTCTCCAGAGACCTCAGAACCATACTCTATCCCTGAATACCATACTATACTTGTACCTTCTACCTCAGCATCTGGAACAGTCAATCATTGAGATGAATGAAGGAAGAGGATATAACATTTGTATAACAAATAATGAGACTTACTCTGTGAACATTGAACAATTCAAAAATAATGTAGGAAATAAATTCTATTTCTACTAGTACAATGAACATAATACTTAGAAATGAATGTTTGAAAAATGTACCATTGAACAATGAAAACTATGTAACACAGCTAGTCTAGGAAGCACCCATTTATACCTGATCCTTATCTCCTTGCCTCTCAGAAACTTACTTTTAACTTTTACAGAAAGAAAGTATTACTTTTCCTTCATAATTTATAGTTGCTCCAAAGTTGATGTCTATATAGCCAAATGTGCCTCAGGATCACCATATTCATGAGGAATAGCTCAGATCCACTAAAAGAGGCATGGAGAACCCATGCACGGGAGGACTGAATATCAGGCATGAATATTTCCTACACAATCCTTCCCAATCATGATGTGGGGAAAGGATCATCAACAATCACAACAAATACTTAAGAGAAAAGCTTGGGATGTCTGATATGAGGGAGGGACGCAAAAGGTTTATTTCACAGTGTAATGGATACAGTTGGGAAAACAAGTCTGAGGACCCCTAGCTGGCAGAAACTTCTAGGATCAGAGAACAGTTAGAAAA